GATAGCGCTACTGCTCGAAATCGGAGGCATGTTGCTAGGATTGCGAGCAGTGCTGCTCGCAATCCTAGACTTTGCTCGGATTGCGAGCGCGCTGGTAGTAGTCGTAGGCGTCACCAGTCACCTTGGGAGCGGAGCTGCTCTTAGTCCTAGAAGATGTAGGATTGCGAGCGTGGGTGCTAGCAATCGCACAGAGATGCTACGATTGCGAGGAGTGCTGCTCACAATCCTTCGACTTCTAGGATTGAGAGCGAGGCTGCTCTCAATCCTCCGGTCTAGAAAAGAAGGTTCACCGCCACGGAGCCCGAACCAACTCTCCGACAAGACCGGGCCGAGCGAACCAATACGAGGACAATAGACCTACCAACATCAACACCGACCACACCAACATCAACGACCCACCGCCATGCAGGACTCCACAAAGGATCTCGTGGATGACCTGTTTGCCCGCCCAGCCGAGCCCGCCGCGGCCCCTTCGGTGGCAGCGGCTCCTCTCGTCGACGCTCTCTTTGGCGCCTCGGCCAGCACCGTCGTCTCGACCCACTCTCTGCGCGACAATGTCTTTGGCGAGCTCACCGCACCCCCTCAGAGCCGCACCGCCACGGCGACACCGGCGGCGGCGGCGGCGGGCGGCGAGGCGAGCGGCGCCGGGCTGTGCCAGCACCTGCTCTTTCTCGTGCACGGGATCGGCGAGCACCAGGACTTTTTCGACGACAAGGTGGTGTCATGGGACGGGTCCGAGGGCGGCGTCGGAGGCAACCACGAGTTTCGCGAGCTGCTCGCCTCCCTCGCCTCGTCACGCCTGACGCACGCGCCGCTGTCGCTGCTCGTCTCTTCGGTCGAGTGGCACTCGGCGCTGCGCGCGGACGGAGACGTCAGCTCTGGCGGAGAGAGCGGCTCCGACGCGCTCGTCAACGCCGTCTGCCCGCCCGGCGTGACCGGGCTGCGCTCCTTCACGCGTGACAATGTGATGGACGTGCTCTACTACACGTCGGTCGCGCACGCGCAGCTGATCGTCGACACCGTGGCCGACCGGATCCAGAAGCGGTGGAGTGCGCTCTGCCGCGAGCGGCCCGGCTGGTGCGGCTCGGTGCACCCGCCTCGCTCACTCGCGCTCGGCCGCTCGTGTGAGCGATGAAGACAGCTCCCCTCACTTGACCGATAGGTGCACCTCTTCGGCCACTCCCTCGGCTCGCTCATCGTGAGCGACATGCTCATGCACCAAGGCAAGTGCTGGCACGGCGTGCGCTACCCGACCTTCCCCTTCCCGGTGACGAACGTGTACGTCTGCGGCTCTCCCGCGCCGCTCTTCTTCGTCGCCCGCAAGCAGGTGACGGCGGTGCAGGCGGCAGACGCGGCCGAGGCTGCGCCGCCGACGGAGATGCCGTGCCGTGCCTTCTTCAACTTTGTGAACTCGATGGACCCGGTCGCGCACCTCTTCCGCCCCTTCCTCTCGCGCGCAGAGGGCGAGCGCGCTCCTAGAGCCGTCCTCTTCCCAGACCTGCCCGAGACCTGCCCGAGAGCCGTCCGAGAGCCGTCCCTCACCCTCGCTGCCTGCAGGCGGTGCGCCGTCTCTCCGCTCGGCAGTCACCTTCAAGAGTCTGCACGAGGCGCAAAAGGCGCCGCCGCCGCCCGCAATGCTGCCGGCGGCGGGCAAGCTGCTGCCGGCGGGCGGGTCGGCGAAGCAGCTGCTCGCCGCACTCAAGGAGGTGGAGGCGGCGCGCGCCTCCGTCGACCACCACGTCACTCCGCAGGCGGCGACACTTCCGAGACGCCTCCGAGACACCTCCGAGACACGTCCGCTTCCGAGGCGCCTCCGAGGCCCTCCGAGGCGCCTTCCGAGACCCCCCCCCCCCCCCCCAGAAAA